GTTTGTGCGAATGAGGGGAGAGTTGGGGATCCGCGCCGCTGGCGACATTCTGCGAAAAGGGGGACCCTGTGTCGGAGGCTGGAGTGGATTTTGATAGACACACTACTACTTCGTCAAGTAAGTAGCAACGATAGTTAGGTGTTAGAAAAACCCTGTATTACACAAAAGAGGTTGAAATTAAATTCCTCGTGTGTTTTTTCAGAAAAGCTGAACCAAGTGCGACTTCGACTACTTACAAATGATAGTCCAAAATGTGGGTAATGATAGGATTCAACGTCGATGCATTTATCTACGTTAAAATTAGTCACTGAACAAAAGCCACTGTAGAGGATCAAGCAGAATTCAAAAAATCGATTTGAAGAAATCGATTGAATTCAAGTGTGCATATAATTGGTCGGATAAATCGCCAGCGATCTTAGGTACAACCCACGCTGTAGTTTTGACAGTTTTTTTTATGTAGTTTGAGGAAATCTATCGTGTGCCTCGTTTGATATCATTGAGAACAGGAAAGACTCCATCTTCGTAAAGGAGGTTGTGGGTGTTTTAAATGGACTTCGTTTGATTCAAACGCAACCCGACTACCGTGTCTCTCAGTGGTTGTCAATAGTCGTGTGTGTAATACGCTTATAAGCTTCTCTGCAGGCTGTTGGGCAGTTGTGTGTTGATCTAGGTCAGTTACGACTGTGTTTTGACGATTATTGAATTGGATTGGTTGTGTTAGGGAAGTAGCGTTCACCGAAGCAATTTCCTTGCAACAGTGTGATTCGCGAGTACTCTATTTACACATTCCTTGTTCATACGATGAACATCACTGGAACATCTAGAACACAAGATCGGTCTTTGGCAACGCCGTATAATTAGATCAATGCTAATCCCCTTTAATTCACCGAACCAAGGTCTCTGTAACGGGTGTGTTCTGCGCTGCCGCAGGTCCATTGACTGAAGCCCACGAAGGGTGTTCTTGTTCCGTGTCTTTGTGCTGGGACACTGGTGACTCACCCATGAAGGGAGGGTTTGTGAACTTTTGTAACCGATAAACGTAACATTTTCTGTAACCTAATTGGTGTCCAGCTTGCAAAGTATGGCTAGGTTTTGCAGAGTGTAAACAATCTTTTTCTCTGCTCTAATTGGTTGACTGCGCACTTCCGTTGAGCCATCTGAATGAACGATAATTAATTAAACGATAATAAATTTGCTTATAATAATCAGAAAAGCCTTCTGTATATCGATTTCTGCTTTGAATTTCAGTTCCATCGAACAACTTTCCTCAAGTGTCTTGGAATGTAAGGGTACAATTTTAAGTGTCATTATCCAATCAGATTGTAGTATTATCTTGATAGGTGAATGGCTACGCCATATTCGCAGTGTATTGGCCAATTAATGTCAAGCGTTTATTCTGCTTTGATTTGCTTCGAAAATCTATAAATCTTTGAGTTTGCATTCTTCAGTTATCTGTATTGTGGAAAATAGCTTTAAATTCCGGAAATAACGAATAGCGTGTGAAATGGGAGAGCTGATAACTCTCACACTTGTTGTTTTACTGGACTGATTTCCTAAAAGAAAGCTAGCGATCACCTGGGAAACTTCATTCGACTGCAAAGTACTCTGCAAAATCTAGTGCCGTTTCAATTTTACCACCTGTTATGTACCTTCAAATTACCCGTCGCGGTGTGTTCGTATAGCAGGCGGTGCGATTAACCCTAGGTCGACATTAAAATAACTACGAAGAGATGACAAGTTGTTTTCGACACGTGTTTAATAAATAGATAGCATAGATTTAGTAGTTTTGGATGCCACTTAATCTAACATCTTTCTTTATCCATCTCTACCTGCATGTTAAAATAGCAGCTTTAAATTTACGGGGCAAATTTGAAGGCGCTCCGAAAGTTGCGCGCTCACAGTGTGAAAATTTAAACAAATGCGATTCAGAGATAATTTAGTGATTAAATAAATACACTTTCCAATGCAAACCACAAGTTGATTTAAAACCTACTACTTTTGCATCATTTGTGTGGTAGAAATATGCTACTTTTAAGAAGCTAGATGACGATCAAGTGATTGTGAGATTGACTGATTTAAACAAATTCCCTCGTTTGCCAGAACTTGTTTATTTTGCGTAATCATTAAAATTTCGACATTATAAACAGTAGAAAATAGTTTTTTTGCGTAAGAAAGGAAGTTCTAGACTGGAAAGACGGTGTAATCTTTTGGTTACAACTTAAATTTCGTTTGAATGGCAGTTAAATTTGGAGTTTTTATGACCACCACAATCAAAGAATACATACTTAATAGAAATACATTGGTTTCCAATGAAACAAGTTTGTTGCTCAAGGAAAATTTAAATACCGTAATTGGTCATTAGTCATAGGAGAGTTATGGCTTTAGTCTGGATCACCGATTGGTTACCACGGCAATGGATCTAAATGATTAGCCTGTTAACGCCAATCAAATTTGTGTGAGTGGTTTTCAGGTTGAAACAAGGCTTGATGGCGTTCCTGAAACCCCTCGCAATTCATATTCCCACGAAATAGCCTATAGCGTGTCGTGATCGATCTTACGTTGCAAACCTGATGTGAGGAAGCTCGTGTCTCATTTGTACTTTGAAGTACCTCTTTTTCTATGATCTCCGACGCTAATTTAAATATATGTGTGCCAGCACTGCTACGAACGTTCGACAATCCTCAGGAGAAGGGATTAGTTACTCAGCTACCTGTAAATCATCCTCTCACTGGGCAAATTAACAGAGCCGCTTTGTTTAAATCGAACTGACCAATCCAAAGCCTCAGTTGTTAACCAATTGAGGGCATAATCTGCCGGCGCTAAATCCAATGCACGTAGAAGACACAGCGCACAACCAGATCCATTGCTGGTTTCCTGGCTTAACGCACTGGGAAATTGTCCAATCAGTGTTTGCCAATTTCCTCGCATGTTTGATTGGTTTCTTTATGAAACGTTTAGTTGTAGATCGTAGAGTTAGCAGGGCACGCCACAAGAAGCTCTTGTTCCCATTTTAGTTTACCTAAAGTGATTCGCCCTAGTGCCATAGGTGGTGAATTATTAAGGCGGACTTGCACTAGACAATGTGAAGGAATACTAGCCAATTTATGGCGAGTAAAACAAGCTGTATTTGTTTGAAATTTCAACACGCATCACCATGGACACCTACCAGCCACGCGAAATTTAGGCGACAGTGACAAAATCAAGTTTTAGAATCTTGCGCTTATCTTATTCCAAATTTCAAAAGTTTACACTACTATCCACAAAGAATGGCTCAAACATTCTCAGTCATTAAGAAAGCGTGGCAACTCACGTACTGGCTCCACCCAAAATCATCAGTTTTTAATGTTGTAATTAAAAGACTACTTATTTGTGGTTAAAGTACCTGTGAGAATTAATCAAAGTCACTGCTTTGAAAACCACCATTTATGAAGTTTATTTCCAGACAATCCTCACATTAAGTAATATTTAAAGTACTGGCTAAAGTAGGTCACTTTGGTCGAGATTATGGCAGTGAAACATGCGCACGTCAACAACAAAGGACCTACACAGCAATTCTGAAAACCAATGAACAAACGTAGAACCTGTGGCGGCTTGTGATCTAAGCACTGCCTTACAACCCTCTAGTTAACAGCCCGTAACAATCCGAGAATGGAAAGAAGAGAGGCGACAGAGGACACGACCGTTTATCAGCGTTACGACAGCCAAGAGTGTGGATGAGTGACAGGCATTTAATAATAGTAACCAATGGAAAGGGCATGAGTCATTGTTACCGTCAGGTCAGTTAACAGGATTCACTCAGGCGCGATCACTGTTAGTCAGGTGCAAACCAATGGATATGCATACAGTAAAATCCAGGGACGAGGGCAGGATTGTTATGGCGGCTTCCTATAACAAGTTATGCGTAGAAATCCCCCCATGGCAGCATCTATGTCTTCCGTGGTGTTATTTCGAATTCCACGATGGAATGGACCTGAGCCACACCAGGCTATGATTGAGTACCTGACAACCTTTGTGACGCGAACTTACGACTGACTTTGACAGTAATGTTTGCAAAACATTGATCAAGACTGAGTAACCTTCACGTTTGTCCGTCTATCGAATGTTAGAGTATTATATAACCTCACCAACGCCTCCTCAAACAAGAGTTTTTAGGTAACGTTTATCGCTATTATACAAAAAATCAACTGGCTTGATAACCACCATGAACTAACAGTCCCAACCCTTGGCTGCTTACGAACCCTCGTGTAGGCCGGCGCAAACCCCAACTCTGTTCCTCCAATCGCCTCACCCATATTTCAACGCAGACCGGAATATGGGTATGCTAAGCACAAAAACGTCATCAAGAGCATAAATCGCAACAGGAGCAAGTATGGACACACAGCCGGCTAGACCACAGCCTTATAAAGGTTGAAAGCTGAACTTAAATTGCCACGGGTCTGCTAGTCCTCCTTTAGTCAGTGCATCACAATAAATCGAGAGGTTAAACGCGTATCCAAACATTCTGAGGCAGTCCTATGGAGGGAATGTAGAGGAACAGAAGCACTTTTAAGATAAGAATGCTACCGGAAACCAGCTAGCCAAACAGAGGAGAAGCAATGGACTCAACTAGATGAGTTCTAGAAAAATTATCCGCTGGCCAACACTCATATAAACGCCAGAGTACTAAATGTACAAGGTATGTATACCAGTTAGCATTGAAAGAGTTAAAAAGGGAAGTGTTCATGCGTTGCTGAACTCAATCCTCAAAACGTGTTTAGTCAAGAAAACAATGAAACGATTAAGTACAATTATGACAAGCTACGAACCCACAGTATCAGTGTATAAAAGCAGAAGTCGATGCCAAGCAACAAACGGGGGAGTAAACACAAAGAGAACATTCGACAAAAACATGCGAGCTACAAGTCTAACAGTCAATTTAAGCTGCTACAATTACAAAACACAGCCAAAAACTTTCAAAATATTAAAGATTTTATTAACAGGTCACGTGCTTTGCATCAAGGCTAGGCTGCCTGTTTCATTCCCTGGGCTTTCATAATCGCTTTGGCCTTCGCTTCGAGCACGGCCAGGATAGCTCGATGTTCCTGGGATTTCTGAGACAAAATAGGAGCTATTTTCTCAGTTTGCTTCTCAATAAACTCGATGCGCTTTGTAAAATGCTTTTTTGCATCATCTGCCTCCTATAATGGGAAATAACACAATTGAAATATAAACCAACCATATCGACAAAATAACCCGTGCCGATATCTACGAGTACACGCGTTGGATTAATGAGCTTTCCGGGTACGCAAAGAGTAGATGTTAGGGGAATCAGTGTGGTTTTGTCCTTGTTCTCATTTGTAAATTGTTTCAGGCAATCACGTGAAGAGGCAAATTGACCTTGGAGAATCCTGAGCTGCTGAAGTGAAGCACTGATATATTGTACTTTTTGTTCGTACTGTTTTGCTATTTCCTGCAACTGTGGGAGAGGTAATGTGGCAATATCAACCGATTCACCGTCACCCATCTCAAGCAATAAGACCTAACTTGGCACACTACGATTGACCTTGGGTTAGAAGCAGGCAGACCAATTGCTATGGTGAAACGAGTTCGGTTCATACTATTTGTGTTATATGCATGTTTTTAAGGAAAAACCACCGGATTTATTCAAGAAAATGACCAGAATTTTCTTAGCACAAAGCACTTTATCAAAAAAACGTTTTGTGATCTTACGAAAAAATAAATGAATAAAGGTCTGCAACTGATTTGTGATAAAATTAAAAAGCACTTTATATGACACAAAATTTGCTGAATAAAAATTTAGTTTTTAGAACTGGTGCACCTGAGAATCCTACTTCTACTCTCGTTTAACCAAAATGTATTCTTTCCAATTATGCATATACCAATGCGAGTTGCTAAAGTGTCCCATAAGTTCAAGTGACCTGGCTTTACTTAATTGCTTGTGTGAGCTTATGTGAGATATATAATATATATCCCGTTATTATTAACATACGCAAAATGACAGAAAACTAAGTTCCTTGAGCTTGAATCTACATTGCACAAGATGTACAACTACCAACGAGGCTTTAATTTGACTCCATTTAGGGTGTAAGTATCTAGACTACTGGCGCATGCAACTAAAATATTTAAAAGTATTTAGCATTTTGTGAGATCAGAACTTTAAATAGCTAATAACGGTGAATTGATTTGACACGCCACAAGTCAATCATTAGTTCCTCATTTAATTCATAACAAAGGGTGGAGGATTTGGGTATTTGTAAAGCTCTTCAATTTACTATTCAGTTGTATCAGCCTGATGTCTGACACGTCATAAGAATTTCAAAATTCATTTGCTTTAATTTTCTTCATCTCTGGTTCATCTATTCACCTTAATAACTAAAACACCGAATTGGCAAAACATCGGAAAAGCCAAAAGTCTATATGCGTCGTATTTAACCGCACGTCGTCATTTCCCATTGTACCATCGCTAAACGCGTCTCGAATACCAGGCCAATGGATTGGAAAAATCTGACAAAGGTTTTACACCCAAACGCAGCAATTACGTGCGCTTCCACCACCCCTGTCTACGTCACCCTTAGCAGATAATGAACACTGGGTTTTCACGCACTTTTATTAAAACAGAACGAAGGATGTTATCGTACAAAATAATGCCACTAAATTCAAAGCACCGTGGGTTGACGCACCAAACGGAGGATATGATTGAGTCAATCACATAAGCATCTGTTGAGGAAACGGAATAGACTACAAAATAGGGTCGAGGATGACCACATTCATAGCTTGGGATTTCGCTTCGAGAACTTTCGCATACGTCTTCCTCTGCGGCTACAACCTTTTTTGGAGCACCTTAGCGACTAAAAACAGGAAAAGAACGGAATATGAGGCATTAGTAAAAGGCGCCAATGTTGACAGTGGTTAGGTGAAGACTCGCTGCATCATTACGAGTGAGCCTGCTTCAACGAGAAGTATGCCAAGCATTGACCTTAGGGTAGGCGAAATTAGCAGCCTGAATTAGAGCAGTTCGAACATTGGCTGTAATACAGAGATGAGCACCTGATAGCCACACACAGACCGCATACCAGCAAGCGTAAATAGGGTTCGTGTTTAGATTGTGGCAATTCTTGACTGGTGAATTTGTTTCTGAGGTGTACTGGCCTACCAACGGTGGTCTAACTCACTGTTTGAGTCAGTAGACTGGCCACACACAACACCACAACGAACGCGTATCACATTTGCGATTGGATCACTTGTGTTCAACATGGAGGAGGCTAGGTGGAGCTCATCACACACGCACACCCCAACCCAAATAAAATGCTTCCGTGAAGACAAGCGCGCACACAGCTGGCAGCAGTCACAAAAAGTGAAAAAATAATAGGGCAATTACCGGGACTTGTGATTGAGTTAGGACATGTGATTGCACAATTTCTTGTCCTGATAAAGCCGAACGACCAAGTGTTTCTAGAGAGAAGAAGAACAGAAGCGCTTGAGTCGTCACCGAAAAGTAAGTAGTAATTCGAGGTAAAACGGGCTTACCGCTTTGCAGAAACTCACTACTCCGACAATCATCATCATCATCACAATCATCGTCATCATCACAGCTCTTGATGCTCGAGGCCTGGTTCTCGGAGAACTGAGGCGGCCTAAAGGTGTCCCCACAATGGTTGGCCACGGTGTGACTTGGGCAGAAAGTGTATCCTTTCGGCTCACAGCCTTCATCCTACGTCAGAAAGAAATCCCATTCACGAAAATTACCCCCACGTGAAGCATACAAATCCTGCGACAACCCTAATGCAGTTTTCTCCACGAATGCGCACTAGACCACAGCCCAATCGATGAGAGGAGTTACTCACCCTGGCGAGGAAGGCGGGATCACCGCGGCAGAGTTCACAGATTTGGGAGGACAAGAGAGGGGGACGAAACTTGTATAGCGACTCCGATTCCCCACTGGACACCCGCCGATAGGGGGACAAGAGTCGTCGCAAAACGAGGAGGTAGACGAGGATCTGGGAGACAACGGCCAAGACCAAGTGGAGCACGAACAGGCGGAAGGTCTGCAATACCGAACCGGCAACAATTTAGGCTCACACACACAGGCTAAATGCACCAGGGTAGTAGCAAACGGGTGGACGAAGGCGATTGGTTCATACACAGGCACCAATCAGAGATCTTCGATCGGCCAATTAAGCTGGCGAGTGACGGACATGTTTCAAATGAGGGAATGAATGAGGTGAACGCGCCTCTCTAATGAGTTTGATGACATAGTCTACGAGAAATTAATGTCTACCGAGGAGATTACTGAGACCCACCTCCGACATGATCCACGTCTGGAGTCGACTGCAGAAGAGGACGAAAAGCCAGGCCCGGGCCTTCATGACGGCCTTTCGGAAACCGCTTTCCTCTCTGCGTTGCCCTCGGCCGGACTTCTCCCCCCTAAACAAGAGGGACGCCTGCGGGGAAAGTAGTGAGCCGCATGGCGGCTTTGCAGTTGTCGTCGCGGCGGACAGGAGCGACGCCAACGACGCGTTCGCAGAGGGCGCGGGGCAGATGGACTTCGACGGCGAGGCCGGCTGATGCTGGTGGCCGGCGTCGACCGGTGTGGAGGACTTGAAGAAGACGGACCACAGAGAATGGAAGTTGGCGGGGTTCAACAGCCCGACGTCGTTGCTGGAGGCCACTGAGATGGGGCGTCGGAATCTCGGCACCGACATGGGCGAGGCGGATGAGTCTACAGAAGTGCACCGAGGTGTTAACCATGAATAGTGCTGCCTACTTTTGTGCGCAATAGCTAGTTATCAAGTGTTTGAACTCACTAGTGTGTGGTAGGAGCGTCACGATTCGCTGGCCAGCCAGGATGTGCAGAAGTTTGGTGAGCTGGGCCTCGAGGTAGTTGATGCGTTCCTGCTGGTGCAGATCCCTCGCTTCGGCGCCTTTCGCCGTGGCCTTTAGCCAGGCGGTGGTGAGGTTGAACGAGGCCGACAGGCGTTCCGTCTGCTTCTTGTAACTCTGGCTCAACTCCTCAAGGTACCTACAAGCGAAGCACACCAGTTAGGAAAAAGTGAGCAAGTGACCACTCGGGTGGACAGACAAAACACTACCTCATGCTGACCGAGACATCGGATTGGAGTTGGAGAACTTGATTATTCAGTCGCATGTACATCTTCTCCTTCCAGGAGCCACCCATTGCTGCGGGCAGAACAACTTCCTCTTCCACCTTGGGATTCGACGATGTCGCCGTCGACGCAGTAGCAGCAGCAGGTGGGGTACTCAACTCCTCCACATCGACCTTCGGATCAGCCTCGGGGGTGGGGGAGGCGCTAGGTGGGTGTGCAGGTTCTGGAAGTTCTGGTTCCACCATGGCTGGAGATTCCGAGGGAGTTGGTTGTGGATGTGGAGTTGGTTGCAACACCGAGGACTGCCCTTCCTACAGTGGGGACACATAAATCGTCGGAAATGATAAATTCCAGATTATATCCGTGTTGTTGCATCGCATTCTTACCTTTTCTGGTGCTTCGATTGGCTCGTCCAGGGCGCCGACATCAACTGTGCTTGGTTGTGTCGGTGAAGGTTGCAGAAACACCGGCTGGGGGAGCAGATCGTGCACGTGCTTGCCCATCAGCGCGGACGGGTGGTGGCCAAACACGCCCGTGAGATTGCGGTACGCCGCAACCAGACGCAGAACCTCCGGCAGGGCGGACGTCGAGAAGTTGAGGAGGTACTGCGCGGTCGTGCAGTCGGCCCACGCGCGATGCGGGGCCGCGAGAGGCAGTGAGGCCGCGGTGGCGTTCGTCGCGTCCAACATCACGATACACCGGAACAGGTGGCAGAGGCCTCGATCAGTGCGCAGGGGCGATGAGTGCGCGCACGCAGGAACCGTGGAAAACAGGTAGACGATGGAGCAAAAGTCTCTGCTCGTGGGCTCCATCGTGAATGCCTCGGCGGCGTCTCTGAAGCCGTTGGATGCTGAAATGAGGAAGACTGTGCCAACCTCTTCCCACTCACGACGCCACTTTCTATGCCTACCCAACCCATTAAACACCTTAGCTGATTGGTGATTCGAGATGGTGTTACTCAAAAGGAGTGCGTCAATGAGGAACACAAGGCAAATGAGGCGCCATGAGTTGACGACAAAATCGAGTGAGAGAGGCCCACCAAGCCGGGGTTAGGGGTAAACAAGGTGGCGCAGGGGTGGGTTAGGGGGGAGGGGAAGGAGGCGCGAGGGGCACCTACAGCAAGCGAATAAGCCGAGTAAGCGGCGAACGGACACCGGTGGGATAGCGTTGGATTGCGGCGCACTCGATTCAAGCGGTGAAACCGCGTCTTCAGGACCTACACACGCACACACACAGGGGGTGGGGTGGAGGGGGCGCGGAGAAAATCTGATTAGAAGGAGCACATCGTTGTCCACACGTTTGTCAGGTTGCATTAATGCCAATGTGCACTTTGTTTAGGCGTTTAAGCAACAGATTAGGGTGATTCGATCGACTCGAAAAGGAATCTGCTTCTGCGGCATTCGCCATCTTATTACCGTTTCACCTTTTGTTTTACTACACTGATTTTGTTGGAGCGCTATTTAAAGTTTAACTAGGAGCCAGCGTTAATATATGTTGCTTAAGACCTACTGTTTACCGTCTTTATTGCCGTAACCAGCATAAAACGTCGATTGTTTAGGATTGTACGTGTTATTCTCCGATTCCTGCTAAGAATAAGCTGGTTTAATTTATTTGCTTGGATTTCGTTTACTATGCACCAACAAATATACAGTAGAAATTTTTCAGCACTACGGCATCTTAAATGAACCTCTGCAGAATCCACTGCAAACCCACGCACAAAAACACTGAAATAAAGCTAAAAACATAGGCAAGAGCGGGGAGGGAGTTTACCAAACCAAGTAGCCCATTTCGACGAATAAATTACGCCATAATGACAGCTGTGTGATGGATTATTCGAGAAGCCATTACTGCACGAGGCAATTAAAGCGAAAAACACCGAGACCACGTGATTCCCGTCATAAAATGTGTCCTAAATTTTTTTTTCGGTGGATTTGATTACAAAAGGTCTTTTTTTAGATAAAGTTATACGCAGAAAAACAAAAAAATGATCAGTCGACAGTGAAACAGCATGGACCGGTGGTGCGTTTGGAGCCTGCCACGCGCACCCATCTGATTGGCTGCCGTGACAACCAAAGACTTAGGCGCATCTCGGTATTCCTTATCTCTGAAGCCGGAAGACAGTGTCTGAGCCAACAAGGCGTCTAAATTGTCTGCTAAGTCCTCGCTAGTTATCCGTGACCCCCAAAGTTCATACTGATTCCCCAGCAGGATTAATTGTCACGGACCTCGTGGCGGTCACTCTCACGAACAAAGTCATGCGCTGTCCCGGCGTTTAAGCTGTTTCCAGCTTCGACCTCCCGTGCGGCGTTACAACCAAACTTTCATTCCTAGGGAGGCGATTTGGCTGGTTTTCGCGGGTTGTGTGTGTGTTTGGACGAGATTCGAGACAAACTTAACCAGCGGGAACGCGGAAAAAACGGTTTTGGAATGCGTGAGAAAGAGGACTGGAGAAAGCAAGAAAACGCCTGGTCGTTTGCCGAGCCTACACGGCGCACCGCAAGATCTTTCCACGATACTCCGTGTGAGGACATGGACTTTTACATTCGCCGCGTAGACATCACGCGAAACCCAACAGCATGGACTAGTGCTGCAAGGCTATTGGTTGAATTAGAATTCTTGATGACCGTGACCTTTGACCACATACCAGAGACACGCATTAACAGCCAATCAAGAGAAAAGTGGGGACGATTCCATGAGGCTGAGATCGGTCTTGTTGGAGCAGGCTCGAACCCAAACAACCGCGCTATCGATGTTGATGAACGCCCTAACGAATTCGCGACTAGCCAATGGTTTCTTTGACCTCTAAGAAACCAATCAACATTTGTGAAACTAAACACGGCCTGCGAGAGGTTTCACAAAACCGCGTGAATTTTCTTCGTGGGGACAAAATTCATGCGGAAAAAGTGAGGAGAAACGGCTCTGCAGGTGACCTTGATCCCACGGAGATTTAGTTCAGATTTTTTTGCGTAAACCTGCTCTACAGGGAAGTTAAGGGGGTAATAAGCAATTAATTGCTTTTTCTTCACAATCAAACGTCAGGTGACCACGTGCAATTACCAATTTCAAGGTAATCCTCCACGTGACGCAGTGCGGTAGCGCTCAAAGGTCGAATTGCGTGTTCAATCATGTGGAATTGCACATTTCCGTGGTAAAAAGGCCCTACATCCAACAGGTCACAGTTGCAAACGCATTTTGTGTGAATGCGACTGAGGTCAGCTGACGGGTGTAACGTGCTGGTCCCGCATTTGCATGCAATCTAGTGAAGGCGCCGTCGACACAACACACAAAGTGCAGAGTTGATAAACATACCGTCGAAGACTTGCGAGGTTTCGCCCAACGCCGACGAAGACCCGATGGCGCGTCTCAGCATGCTCACAATGAAACCTACAAGGCAAGAGTGAGAGTTGTAGTGGCTTGTGGTCTAAGCACTGCCTTACAACCCTCTAGTTAACAGCTCGTAACAATCCGAGAATGGAAAGAGGCGACAGAGGACACGACCGTTTATCAGCGTCACGACAGCCAAGAGTGTGGATGAGTGACAAGCATTTGATACCAGTAGCCAATGGAAAGAGCATGAGTCATTGTCACCGTCAGATCAGTAACCAGGGTTCACTCAAGCGCGATCGCGGTTAATCCGCTAGAGAGTGACGTTGGGGGAATTCGGATCGTGTTCACTCACCCGACTGTCGCACATTCCGACTCGATAGCCTTCCCTTTTTACGGCATCCCCAATCGATCATGCGCAATTGTCAGTTCAAACACCCCTGCTAGTGTGCATCTCCCCTCTGCTACCCGCTACATTCATTCACGCATTGACCCAGACTGCATTTGCTCAACAGCCCCCACACATGAGACCCGACCTTTTATCGACCCAGCGCGCAACACAAATCGCATAACACAGTACTCGGTAATTTACGGAGTTGAGTTAAAAAGTCAAGGAGGGCGTCTGTGTTCCCTACGGACTCTGTGCATGCGTACAACGCGTCAACGCCAATCACGCCGAAACGGAGACACGTCGTCGTGCGGAGGCGTTTTGGGTCAAAGTAGCTCGCCTGGCAGGCGAAAGCGAAACCACACTCTATAAATAACCGGTGTATTTTAAGATCTGTCAGTGTTCCGCACGTTGACACACGCCATTTCCACTAACTTCATTAGGCTGCCATTTGCACCAACCAACATATCACCATGTCATGCTATCTTTTCGAAAACGGTGTCACAACTACCAGTTTACACTTTGAACATTTGCTGTTAGAAGCTGTGAGGTGAGATTTTGCTCCTAAATCTGCAATTTGTGATAGTAGTAGATAGGACAATGGCTGGATTTGAAGGCGCCGCGGTGGTTCGTTTCCCCGGATGATTACGCGCTGACACGCGACTAACAACCCACGGTGTTGGGATGCACGAGGCTCGGCTTCTCACCATCTTCAGGGACACGCGAACATCACACATTCCATGTTGGTTGCGCGCACGAATGTCCGCAATTGTGATTGGCTGTCGGCACACCGATTCAACTTAAGATGGAGGCGCCAATACCACGGACGTTGGGAAGGCCGGGTTGATAGAAAGTGGTAATTTCGCTTCAATTGGAATCTTGGAAGGTAAGCTGAAGATTTGACAAGCTCATTAAATAGATCCTCCGACTCGTTCAGCGAATCGGCCTCTAAGAGAAGTCCAATAAATCGGCGACGTCAGATGAAATTTAAATTTACAAACACCTTGGCTGCACTACACGATGCAGCGTTCACGTGGCAGGCCTCTGCTAATGTGCATTCAAGTGTGTGGGCGTGTGGAGTTTCGCAAATTTCGTATTACCATTTGACTCTAGCATTTGACAAACTCAGAACATTGGCGTTTGTGTCAGTGGCGTCGACGGTTCACTCGTCAACAAAACGAACCCCCCAACTCCTACGTATCGGACCGATAATCGATTACCGAGGTAATGACCAGGGCGAGGAAGCCATCTGCAAAGCCAAACGCGGCTTCGAAGATGTGCAAGAAAACACAACTCGCGATGGAAAGTAGAGAGAGGAAGACGACTTACGGGTCGCGTGGTGCCAGAAACTAGGTGAGTTCGTCGGAGAGGTGTGGCCTGCCCTCACACATTCCCGAGTTGTAACTGTGGAAAGAAACAAAGTGCACGAGTCAGCGGTTAGGGCCGGTAGTGTCGCTTCAACGCGGTAACGATGGCACTGTGTCGATGCGGTCCACCTACCTTCATCGACGGAGCTTTGGTTGACCGGCGGGTCGACGTGCAACTGCGGTGCATCCCGACTGAAACCCTTCAAGGGAGCGGCTGCCTTCCCCGTTTGCAGCGTCGCTTGGTCCTTATCCACGCCCGACGGCACATCGTCGGTTTCTACGTCAGCCGCTACGGTGCTGTTCGAGGAAGTGTCCACATCCTCCGCTGTGGAGAAGAAAGAGGATACGTCAAATCCTAGTCGCATCACATTGATTCCTTCTGGGGTTGCCTACGCCTTGGTTATAATGCTCATTAATACTCACATCCACGTTCGTTCCAAATGCTTTACCACGTGAGCAGCGGAATCCGCTTAAAGTGCAGACGTTTCGGAATCTGCAGTCACAGAAATTCCCACAACCGTTGAACGCCAAGTAACACGGATCAGAAAGGTCTCTGGTGCAGAAAAAGAGATCCCGCAGTGCTTTCGCGGCAACTTCAGAAATGTGATGAAAATTTATTCTTCTGTCATTATGCTACACGTCGAAACTACAAGCTACTGCGGACCGTAAGATGACAATCGCGCAACCGCTTCGATTAACCACTGCAGTCAAAACATATCGATTGGGTCAACATCGACATACCGAATGTCCTTTGGAACCATTTGACCATCACTTATTTTCATGGACTGTAGAATCAATTGCAAGGTCATAGGCTGACGTCAAGATATTGAGTGCGTTGGACACACAGTTAACCTCTAAACGTGAGTGAATTTACAGTTCTGCAAGTGGCAACTTCGAGTTAGCTAAACGCATTCTGTGCCAGATCGTTCACACAAAACAAACGCAACAGCAGTGATTCCAAAATGGGTGGGGAGTATCGTCATCAAATCTGGGAGCAAGTGGCTAGGTCCTTACCACCGGAAGAAGCGTCGGTCTCTTTCGAAGGATATTCGGGACTGGCACCATCAACATCATCACCCGCCTGGTTGTCCGAATGCGCGGACACCGTTTCGTCGAGTTCGTCGGAGCCGAGACCGAAGAGTCGAACCATGGTGATTGGGCAGAAGTGCTCGTTGCCATAGTGATCTAACAGCTCGAACTACAACAAACAAGGCGAGTAAGGCTGGTTAAAACAAGGCCACCACCTGGGCACAACTCGTAACCTAGGCCAAAGGGGACTGTCTCTTATTGAGGATCGAGGGGTGTATGCCATAGCAACTACAGGTGCCCTGTTCTAAGAAGGCACTAGGAGAAGGCTGTGCCACCGCGAACAACCCTCTGATAGGTCCGCTGCCCGACCTACTTCAGCATGTTGACACCGAGGCACTCACTTTGACGTATTTGATGAGACGACCAGTGGAGGAGCCGCCGATGTGGAATGTTTGCAGGCCCTTGACGTCCATTGCCTCGAAGGTGCCGATTAAGTCCCATTGCTTCGCGGGATACCTTCGAGAGAAAAAGATGTGATGAGGAAGACCACGCTGAGGCAGTACGCACCAAGCAAGCTATCAAACTGATTGCGGGGACGATTCTAGGTGACTTTGAACCCCTGCACAACCACAACTCACCGGTCGCTGACGTACACCCTGAATGTCTTGCATCGTGAGGAGAAGAGCTCGTAGTTGGCTATCTGAATGGTTCCCAGTTGCACTGGCTCGCACGTCTCGATGATGAACCTGTGAGGGGAAACCAAAGCGCCGCGTGAAAACACGACCTCAAACATTGTGATTTTGTCATTAACCGTTTCTCAACACACCCAGGAGTGCGGTTTGGGCTGTAATTGCGGAATGAGTGGGCTGATTTGTTGTTGTCGCAGCTACAGAGTGGCTCTGGACTTCAAAACAAACGCCAATTCCTGTCACCTGTTGCCTTGTGTTATGAGTGCACCCACGCAAAAACAAGCAAAGTACATCACAACTTTGTGGGTCAGAGGAATAAAGTGTTTGAAGAACTGCGTGAACTCCTCACCTTCGAAAACCTTTATAACATTGGCGACTGCGAATTGTAACAGATCTACAAATCAGTGACTGGGATAAGACAATTGCTTCGTATGCCGTAGGCAAACAGTGAGAGGTACACGAGGGCGCCGAGGCACCGATTTTGAGAGGTGTGTGTGTGTGGAGGGTGCGACAGCAGCCACGACTAGGTGTTCTTGCATGGCTATTTTCGCCAAACGTGTCCTGAAGTCTCCTCTGCTAACAAAACTACCACATCCTATCCACACGGACTTTGGCACATCGCATTCACCTTGTAACGATTGAGTTTCATTTCGAGTCAAAAAGGGCGTTGGTATTTGGAGAGCTGGCGAAAGCCAGTGGGTGGGAGATAAGACAAAGCAACCCACACACACACACACACACACATATTGAGCCATAGTTCACACAGGCACACTCGCCGTAACTAGGATGGTTCAGTTTAACTGAATTCGATTAAACCAAATACACGCCAAGGGCTGCAGTGAAGCCAAGGTGTCGAAAAGCGAGGAATATACTCAGTTGGCACCTAGGTGCGGGTGCAAGGTGTGTTTAATTGTAAGGAGTGAGCACTGGCATTCTTTAACTAACCCCAACTCGTGATTTTTGTGCACTGCGTGTGTGTTCGTATTCCAGTGTAAAGACAAAGTAAGCCGCACTCATTCATTCACGCAAAAAAGAAGGCAACTCTTGCGAAAATAGCATGTCCACACAAACCGCACAATGCACTTAGTTTACACCACGCACTACTTGTTGCCAAATACTCCGTGAGTGCAAGAGTTTGTGTGCCATTTGAAATCACACTGAACGCCTTTGAATTCCGCTCTTGACATCTCCATAGACTCGAAATTTTTTTGACGTTCAAATTTTTTTCGCAGAGATCTAAGCAGGTGACAGGATGGAGGGACAACGCCAGGGGAATGCCATGGCTGTTACCTGAGTTTAGGTTTTAATGCTCTCCGTAACAAGATGAAGACCATATCAGCAGGGCCAAACCAACGCACTACTACTTCCTATTGGTAATAAGTAGCAAGTAATTGCACAAACACCTCACCACTTTTCAGAGGCGCAAGGCTGGTTCATGTACTCGTCGTTGTTGTTAACCAGGATGGATGGGGCGTGCTTTGCCGAGGGACTGGCCTGGAGCAGCTTGGCGCCGCACTCAGACGCGGCGATGTTGCGCATCACACGGAGCGAGGGCGGTCGCTGTGCCCGCTTGCCGCCGTTGCCGTTCTCGAGGAGACTGGAGGGGTGGATGACAGTGCCGTCGGCGAGGATGGGTGGAGGCGAGTGGGGAGGCGGCGAGGGCGAGTTCGGTGGGTGCTTGGAAAGGTTCGATGAAAAGGAGTGGGCTGTGGAGGTCAGCGCGCCTGATTGCTGACCACTTTTGATGGACTGGACATCGCCTGCGGTGGTGCCTGAGTCATCGATAAGGTCTAACAAACAAGAGTGCGGAGTATTACTGTTGCATGAATTTGAGGCACTTATTAGCGAAGAATTCAGAAGTTCAAGTCACACCATTAAGCCTCAGAGATTATAAATCATGTAATAACTAGTACAGGAAAATGCACTACAAATGAGAGAGAAAACAGTTGCTCACCTTGTCTTCGTTTTTGCTGGTTCTCGCCAAGAACCTTTGCATGAAATTCTTGGAAAGTTGGCATATTTGGTTGAGATAGCTCATTCACGACAGACTCATCCATTGGAGGCAACACAACATCATCCCTTTGTGGTACTTGGTTCTGTTGAGATTTTGCAGCCTTGATTTTGGTAGGCGCTGACGGCTCCTTTTCAACGACCTTTCGACGGTGCTTACAGGAAGATAAAAACAAAAATTAAAAATTTACAAACCCCTAAAATCACATCCAGCTTTGAAAATATTATTGGTTGAAATATAGAAAACGAGAGTCACGAGAAGAAAGTTCATTCACTTGACAAAATCTGTGCTTAAATACAAAAATATTCTGAGCCGGCATTAAAAGTAAAAAGCATACGTGAGCATCGAAACAATGAGCAACAAGGGGGTTAATCCAACACGTAGACGATTATCCTCAAATTTCAAAGTATTTAACTGTCAAATGTAGGCAGTGTTTTCTGTATTACAAAACCAGTGTATAAATACTGGAGAGATTGTGTGGACATTTGAAAACTTAGTAAAAATTAGGCTTACGCAGTAATATCGAAGTGAAAATAACTTAGAATGTTAAATTTCATAAAAAACTTTCTTAAATGTACCTGGTTTAGACTTGGCGAAATTAACTAAGGCAAACAATGAACAACTTCCACAAGTACAAGTCAGTTATCTGTCGGTGAGGGTAGTAAACGATTATTAAATTATAGGTCTCAGGAGATGGCAAGAGCAGTTAATACCGCAATGCCTCTAAATGGCAAAGTAAGAAGAAAAACACCCATGAAATAATTGCAGTTGAAAAAATTGCGCAACCACCAAAGTGAAAAATGAAATTAACTTACTACACGCGGTTTTTCGTTCGGGGATGTAAGTATTTTAGGCCACTGACTTCGATCAGATAAATGCAATTTCCTTAGGCCTTCTCTCCACCTTAAGGAAGTGATAATATCCCACAAATCCCTTACCTTTTGATAAAAATTGAACGATCACGGTTGATCCACGTTGGATTTCGACGCAATGAACCCTGTACTAACGGAACCTCTGTAGTGCCAGCAGAAAAGAAGGATGTCACATGACCTCCTATGACTAGAAAAATTAGAAACCTTAAAAATAAACAAAACGAAATTTCAAAACCAGAGGGAAAATGTCATGTGTCCGAAATAGCATCAAGGGGGCAACCAGATTAAAAAGAACGCGCTAAACCTTGTCTCCTAACCAGTCATAAATTGGCGAATACAAAGACATTTTCATTATTTGCTATAAAAGTGCGAAATAAATACATTTGCTAATAAAATTTGTTTGACTTAAGTTTTTGTGTATCCTTGTTTCTCAACAAACCATTGGGCATTGCTGAAATCCTTTTCCCACTTATTGCATTTGTAAGTACATCAATTTATCTGTCGAGAGGCAAATAACTTAAACTGACTGAAAAGTATGAGTACTAGTACTATTTCAGCGCATTACTGTAAAGTATTTTTCATTATTTATGTGTGAAATAAAACACGTGTGACGGTCAGCATGTGACCATTGTTAGAAAAAGTGAGCAAAACCAAAGGACTTTACGTTCACTTTGTTCAGAGATCAATTTATATTAATTCTACAAAAAATGGCACATAAGAACAGAATAAATATACTCGAATGAGAAATTGTAAATTAGGAGATTGCAATTAAAGAAGTTTGTCCGGCAAATTTACATATTTAATATGAAAAATAGAGAAGAGCACATTTCGACTTTGTACGATGTCATCCATCATTTTCCATAGTCAAGCGCTAGGTAATGTAAACATGCCGTCTCAAAAAACAATTGCAGACTTTGAAGCAATAAGGCCATCGACGAATTTTTTTTACATCGTTTAGGGTTTTGAACTGTTCCTGCACAAAGTCGTGCTGCCTTGACCAAAACAAATGGAATTGGGATTGAACCACGTCTGGTAAATAAGACCTGTGTGTGAGAACTTCCCATCTTAATTTCTAGTGGATCTTCTGGGTCAAGCGAGCAAGTTGAGGTCTAGCATTGCCTTTCAGCAGACGTAAAACTTGTTTTCTTCTTTGTTCCGTAAATGGCTATATCTCTTCAAGTTCTCTCCTCATTTTGTTCAATTGTCACCTATAGCGTGCCACAGTCTTCATCTGACTGGTTTTTAGGATTTAATTATCTACCCCACCAATTACACGAAAGAGCCTACTTTTTGTTTATGGCCTGTTTTGGCGTCGATGTACTACTGGATTGCCAGGCATTTACCTTGGACTTTTGTGTTTGGAATTCTTTTAAAACGTGTTCTTTACACCACCTAGCAGAATATTCCACAAGCTCTTACTGCGTTTGCGTTAAATCCTCATCCCTCAGAGATTGCAGTTACGCATCTCTACACTTTTCATGCTGCTAAGAACGTGGCCTTCTACTAAAAGCGAAACCACTGCTTTCACAGTGTACGTATTAATTGTTACACTTGCTTTTAGGCGCAAAGTCGGTACCGGGAATACCACAAATCTATTTTCACCCTGTCAAAGCATCAGTTCTTGTTGGTATTCGCATAAAATGTAGTGCCAAAAGTGTTTTATATTAGCAGCTATCTTAAACTCTGTCGTTCACCTTGACTCAACGTTTTGTCTTCTGTGATCTTGACCCCGTTTCTTTTAAACCACATGAGACCGAAAAAATTTTTATGCATTTATATTTTAAGTTAAGTTAAGCCTAAAATATATTGAAACGCACGCATGAAAAAGCAAAAGGACATAAAATTAGGCTACGTTTCAGAATTTTTCGCACAATTAACTTTATGAAACAGAGCGAGATTTTTTTATGACTTGATTTTACAAAAAGAAATTTTCATATATTGTGGCATTGGATTCGAAAATTGTACAATCTCCTGTGCAAAATTTAGTGCATTTGAGGGTGTTTATCGAAATTAGAGCGTGACCTTAAATGAAATATGACTACAAGGATTGATCCATCGATAATATTTCTCATCAGATTCGACAAAAGTCCGATGGAATTCACTCTTAATTCTTCTCAATCACGATTGGCTAAAGCCTGCTGAAGCCGAATAAGTGTGCTCATATTCAGGTACATTAGTGTGGGAACTGTTAGTGTCCTATGTATTCGCTATTACGACATAAGAAAAGATTGTCACAGACTGGGATTACTTGCCATAATAAGATACAGATGTTGTGTTAAGGAAATAAAACGAGTCTCTTTTACTTATTCCTACACAATATTGGGTTTAAGTCATGGCTGCTTTGATTTAAACCTGTTTTCAAAAAAGGAGTTTAAATATTAACGAAATCAAGTTAGAAATAATTCGCAGCTGCGTTTGATCACTTTGGGTAGTATGAAACCATTATCGAGACTGACCATGTCCACATAGACATGTCATGCTCACGTTCGTCAAGAGCTAACAAGCATTCGATCGCAGAGCAACCATAAAATTCTGATAAATGAAGGCGTAACTGTGGAAAGCAGGATGTTCCAGGCTAATTAAAAGAATTTAAAGTGATGCCTAACATGACACAAGATCGATTAGCCAACCAAATTAGGTGTTATTTGGTCTACGTCACGGAAACTCAAAAAATTTGATATGGTTACAAGATACGTCGAAACCACTTCGCAAAAATGCTTTAAACTTTTAAATTCACAGAGATAGAAACAATCAAAGTGCTAGGGAATGCATCACTCTGCTATTGATTGTATGTGTATGGGTGTCGCGTTATTGTGCACTCTAATTCTAAAATGACTTGTTGTTAATCGTGTTTCTTCACACCCTTTAATCCGGTCGCTCCACCTCCGACACAGTGTTTCCCTTTTCGCAGCATATCGCCAGCCGCGCGGATCCTCAACTTTTTTCACATTCACACGAATATTTACCTTGGATTATCTTCATACCTAGGTCTCGACGTTAGCGCATGTATGACTAACACATTTGAAGTATAAATACACACGCGCAAACCTTACACACGACACAGCGATACCAACGCGGTTGAGCTCCGAAGTAAAGGTTTGTGTCCACATCCTCTCCTATCTTTTTCTTCATCGCGGGTATCAGGAAAACGTGATGGGGCCAAGGTTAATTCCGTGGCCCCGGCGTGGTTCAAGACCCCATGCTGGGGCCCACAGACTATAGGTGGTACCTGAACCAACACATTTTAGGAGAACTTACAGCGTCTTCGTCAGCACTAACTTACAACCCTGCTAGTTAACAGTCCGTAAGAACCCGAGAAGAAATGCGGAGTCATGTGTTGCGCAGGGCTTGTGTGAATATTGGCAATTAACTGTTATTGACAATTGATGATCAACTCGTGGAAAAACTTTATGGAAGCTCGTTTGATGAAAGTGTGCAACAAAATTACAATATTAAAGGCAAGTGAATTGCCAGTAAATTGCTATGAGTAGCAGGGGTAGTATGTAACGTAAGTCAATTCAGTGAAGTAAACTTGATCAAACAACTGCCATCTCGATATCAACTATTTTGATTGACAAAATCTCAAAGTTTAGAGGTTTGGCAATCAAAGACTATTTATTACTTGTTTGTTTACTGAAATTCAGTATAAAATTCACCCCCTTTCAACAATTTAGCCGATTAACCAATCCCGGATCAATTTCCATATTTCTTTCTTTTGTTTAAGCATAACATGAAGCAATCATCCTGTTTTAAAGCTTAAAGCAGCATTGCAGTAAAAAGAAACGATTTTCAATTAGGTTTTTTTGCCGTTCTTTGCTGTTGTAAAGATATTTCGCACAGAATATATTGTAACTAGCAGTCTATTTAAGAAGGTAGTAAAGATGTTTTGTAAAATTTAAATAATTCCACGTCTTCAATATTATTCATACGAGTGAAATGACTGCAAATAACTAACTTCTTTCCAAAAGTCTTAGCTCCTGTTAAAAAAATTTTGCAGATGGCAAAACTACAGAAGCATGAATTAGTTTATAATACGAGTTTCTGTCCATGGAATTAAATCATAGTCAAAGTGCAGCAATTAAAATGCTTTTCACAGTAACAAAAAGCAGATATTACTGTTATACTTTAAGATACATCAAATTATAAAAACATTTAGCGAAACACCGTACACTAGATAGAATCTGCATGAAAAATGACGTAGTTCATGGCTTTAATTTCTTGGGACCTTTACGAATACTCACGACTAGACACAAAACTGAAAAGAAGTTCAGTGCTTCATTACAGGCAATTAATTGCAAAAATTGTAAATATTTCGCAAAATACAGATCGTTATGATCAGTGCATGCGCAATAAGTAAGCCAGACCTAATGAACAAGTACCACAGTCCATGCGAAAAAGTAAAATTTCACTGAATGGTTCTACTTATTAAATAAATAAATTATGTAGCAGTCACAAAAGTTTCGTGGCGTTGAATAGTAATTTCAACTGATTATAGAAAACAATAAAATAATAAATAAAATCTTCACATTACGCTAAAATTCTGTGCAATTAGCAGTCATATCACGTCAAAATTACGGCTAGTTGATGTTGTTTGGACAATTGATTGTTATTAGAGCTCGTAAATTAACCTAATATCTAGAATTACACAAAAGAAACTTGTAAAAAATGTTTAGCTGTTTAATTAAACGCATGCCTACAAAAATCGTTTTTTAAATAAAAAACCTTACAAATCAACGAAATGTTCACTTATTTGTCCGAAAATCAGTACAATGAAGTAATGTAGAACAATCTAACCTGCATTTTTAAAAGTAGTAGCTTATAACTCTTAAACATTTGGACGAGTAACTATAAGTTTTATTAATCAATTAAAAATTCAATGCATATTATAACTCTTAATTTCAGATCATAGGGTAATTACTGTTTCTGTTTCGCAATTTGTTCAAATCAGCTGTTGCGGCATCATTTGACTTGTTTCACTTTCGTCATAAACATGAATTTTCTGTCTGTTCTTGCTCCTCGCGTAGGATGTTTCCTTGGTCAGAGTGCCAGGTACGCGAGTACTGGCCCTGTTATGAAAAAGTTCTCAATCTACAGATACGTAAGTTTGGACCTTCCTTGTCTCATGATTGTGTTTTTTTTCCAACTGTACATTTGTCTAGTCAGGCTTTTGATAACCGTAATAATTCGTGTTAGATTTACTACTTTGCGTATGCTTGTTAACGTACGATGCAAATTCCACTTCAGTGATTTAAGTCATACGTGGGCGGAAGTGGTATTTACGAACTTTTTTTCGGTACCTGTGAATAGGGGAGCTGTGACATATCATGTGTAAATGGAGTTCTGTTAATTTCGTCTAGCTTGCTGTGACACATTTAGTTCCTAGCTTTTCATAAGACTGCAGACTTATTACTGTTTATCGATTTGGTCTGAATTTTAGAACCCCGATAAACCAGACCAAAAACCGTTCATGCAAACCTTCGAAGTCGATGTAAGTGACTGCGGCCCCATGGTTCTTGATGCCCTCATCAAAATCAAAACTGAGCAGGACCCTACACTGACTTTTCGCCGTTCTTGCCGCGAGGGCATCTGTGGCTCTTGCTCGATGAACATTGGAGGCCGTAACCGTCTCGCTTGCCTGTGTGCCATTCCAAAAGACAACAAAGTCACCAAAATCTATCCTCTCCCGCACATGTATGTGGTGAAGGACCTGGTGCCCGATATGGCCAACTTCTACGCTCAGTACACTTGGATTGAGCCTTACTTGAAGAAGAAGGATTTCACCGATGATCAAGTCGGTGAGAAGGTTTTCATGCAATCTGTCAAAGACCGTGAAAAGGTTGATGGTCTCTATGAGTGCATTTTGTGCCTCTGCTGCTCCGCGTCATGCCCTTCTTATTGGTGGAATTCTGATAAGTACCTCGGCCCTGCGGTCCTCCAGCAGGCTTATCGGTGGATGATTGATTCTCGTGATGACTACACTTTCGATCGTCTGGAGCAAATGCAAAACAAGTGGTCCACATACCGTTGCCACACCATCATGAATTGCACGGAAACTTGTCCCAAGGTATATTTCCTTCTCGATTATCATACGCGCGACAGCGAGCTATGACTCACAATCTTTCTTTTTACGCTTAAATAGGGTCTCAATCCTGGGAAGGCCATCGGTGAAATTAAGAAGATGCTTTTGTACTACAACTCGTACAAGAACAAGAAACCGATGAACGAGCGCTTGGAGAACTCCTTCACCAACTAGACTGTCACCGAACAGTGTTAACATTGCTGTATCGACTTGATGTATCTTACTTTGTTCTCTCCTTCCCGATTTAATACTATTACAAGTCCCCAGTTGTTTAGTTACCCTGACATGTGCTAGCATTTTGTCGTCATTGGATCGTATATGCTGGTTGCACTAAGTATATTTTTTCATCACCACTGTACACTTCGGTCGCCAGATCACAGGGCCTGGTATCCACGGTACGAGGTTTTAACGCACTGTGTTACCGCTAGATTGTGTGCCTATCAGTCATCGAGTGCGTGGTGGTTTTGACGTCACACACTCGCATAGTCTTCTAGCATGCATTCGACGGTTATTGTGTCCTTTAGAATCGAACTAAATGGCAGCACTTTACGCGTATCGTGTTTTGGGGTCAAAAATGGATGACAGAGGCACGAGCGTCTAAATTCTTCGGTCGCTGTCCCATCTCGCCGCATCTGAGAAATAAACTAAACGGTTATTGGTGGCTGCCCACTCTGGGCCCTGTTTCACACACGGGCCTCGGTTCGTAAAGAGAGTCGGCATTGGTGCGGCGCCGATAGTTGCCACGACTAGGTGCTCGTGGTTACCGAAATCTCATGTGAGGCGAGCTGTATTCAATCAAGTCACAATGAGTCACTCGTATTATCAGTAAGGCATTGATGGTTTATTATGTACACTGTACAGGCGCAGTTAGCTATTATCTGCAAAAACAATCCTGGTTCCTGAAGGCGCGCCTGCCTTGGTGGAGAAGGTGGCCTTTTGCTGTCGCTTGGCCGCCCACGACGGGTGAAGCTCATTCAAATCGAGGGCGTTCTGTTTGGGCCGTGGCGCCTTCCCCTGACGGCCATAACCTTGATCCCTGCCACGCTGGTACGGGCGTACTTGCCGTCGATTCATTTGTGCTCGCTTAAAAACAGCCCTGTCCCCGGGTTTCGGCTTCCGTTGTCGGAGCTAAATCAAAATCACAAATTCCACTCTTTATAATGGCTTTAGGATTGTTGAGACCTGACCCGAGATCCACACGGCCTAGTTGCCTATAGTAAAACAAATATGCGCGCAAAACACATAAATGACCAATCATAAGCCAACATATCAATAGAATAGGTAGACCCTAATTCTGATTGGTTCAGGCGTGAGATGCAAAAAAATCGATGATTTGTCCACTTTGATACTTCGATAGAGAAGCAACACAATAAATGCATGGCACGCCTGTCTTAATGAACTGGGATTAGACAAGTAAAAAGGCGTATTGGCTGTGAGGTGAGCACTACGTTGATAGGCAAATGACAGACTCCCAGCGAATAGCCAAGGAAACCTACAGCCTGCTTCATATCGACATCGTCCTTTCCGAGCACCTCTTCTTCCTCGTCACCGACTAAGTCAGCGATGTTTTCATCTTCAACGATGACCTCGTGAATTACATCGTCCTCTGGTGTCTTCTGCTGTAATCGAATCAAATAATATATCAACGGTTTTAATTTACATGCGAGGTTGGATAGTCGCATGACAACTTCCAATGGGCTATTTACGTACAGGTGAGCGAACAACGGTTGCTTCCTCCACTTTCCTGGGACTCGTTTTTCGATCTTTAATTGGAGGTTTCTTACTCGATTTCGTCGGCTCCTCAACTTCCGGTTTTTTCGCTGACTGGGGCAGAGAATCGTGCTTTTTAACCGATGAAGAATCGTTCGGGTGCTTGTTCTTGTTCGGGGTGTTTGTCGGGGTTGTGCTCTGACTGCTGCCTGAAATTTCCGGACTAGCCTCAAGGACGGGGACTTTAATCTTAGCCAGGGCCTCGTCAAAGTCGTCATTATCGAAATGCTTGAAGTCCAGGCTTGGCGGAGTGAAAAGCGACTTGGACTCTTTGAGGTCCACTTCCTCGTCCTCCGCAATGAGCCTCTTTTGTGCTGCGATCAACTCTCGATCGTGAGCTTCCTTAAAAGCCGCGAACCTACACAAATACAGCAGCCTCGATCTCACTTCCGCTAGCACACGTGATTTAAGCAATAAAACGATTCCCGCATAATGCGACGCACGAAATTATCTGAGGTCCTGCACAGGTATGTAGGTGCCAGTTAAGATTCTGCAGTTTTTCGTGTTTCTGCAGATAAATTTTAATATTTAAGCAAAACAAGCTTCGCAGGATGCATGGGGCAGGTAAATTCGCCAAGCGCGCTGATAATCACGTATTTACAAAGGTCACGTGAGCTAATCGAACACCGTGAAATCTACAAAACATCCGAATGACCTAGTAATGGACGAACAGCAGAGATCGGTAGCACGTGCCTAGAGCACAAAACCGGAAATTACGTCACAGAAAGAAAGACTGACAGGTCACCAGCGAATCCAGCAGAACACGTCTTGCATGCCGCACAAAGCGTTATGCAATTATTAAATAAAAGGCCCCATTCTTAGCAAATCGAAATCCAGAATTTAAATAACACCTGTCATTTGATTTTATACCGTGATAAAGGCAAAATTCAGAAATGACGCACTCGTGGATGGTGGACGGTCCCTGGTTGTCAAGAATCTCGTCGGTGTTGATGAGGGGGAATGGTAAGTCACCCTTTTTCTTCTTGCTGGCTCGCCGTTTCTGTTCGGACGTCTTCCACTTGCCGGATGTGTTTTTGTACAGTAAGTAATGAACGAGTGTGGGCCAATCGGAGTGCTCCTCGCGGAATCTGTTAACGAAGGAGGAAATTTCAGGGCGGTTGGCGATTCGAACGACGATGCGCTCCTGTTTTGTCAAACCTTCACCACCTTTCTCAAGCTAGAGGTGAAAGAATCGACAAAAGCGTGCTTAAATGCCAGCTTAAAACAAAGATGGTAGATTTTGATTAAATACATGTCCTTTTTTAGGGGAACGTAGGATTTGCGACGAAATTAGAAAAGGGTAAATGATTAAATAAAAAATTTCGCAAATTTGAGAGCAAGAAATCGTTTTAGAGAAATCCAGGCGACTACGAAAAGAAGCCGACATTGCAAGTCAAAATTATAACGGTTTAAAAATAATTAACATGGACTATGGATCCACAGCAATAACACGAAAATGTGGGTGGCTTTATTAAAGAAGCAACTAATTGACCAACTCATCCATTATTTACTACCATGCATGGGTCCGTTGATGCAATGAAAAATTTGAAGACATCTGAATGAAGGCAATCCCAAAAATACAGCTACGCATAAATTAACAAAGTGATATAACACAAAATAAGTTAAAAAGCAGGCAAAACATAAGAGCATGTGAGATAGGAGCTCAGAGAAATGCTTAACAGAAGAGCCTAGAGGATGCGAAACGTACCGCCCCGTGAGAATTGACATTGGCCAGAACAAGTTTGCATAACTTCACCGTACTAAATTTCTTAAGAAGTCGCAGCTCTGCAAGCCGATTAATAATTTTACGTCCTAATCTTTTTTCCTTTCCACCAGGAGCCTTTGACTGCTTCTGTTTCAATCTTTTAATATAAGATGCGATTTCCCGCAGAACCAAAATCTTTGATTTTTTAATCAAAGGACGCATAGCTAACACCACATTATTAAGCTCAACACAATCAATAGATAATTGCTCGTGTTCATCATCGATTCCATAAGTTAGGGGCATGACTTTAGAAAACCTATTGTGTGATCAAAGGCTTCTTTTGACTAGGCTGCTTCTGACTCCTTTATAAGTATCAGTAGCATCATTGTAGAGTCATAGATAAATTAGATATCGCTGTTAGCAATCAACGTTTCCTAAAGTCTATGCCACGAAAGCGTAAGCGAAAAAATTACCTAGGATAGTAAAAAGCCTTTTATAAAATTTAGTTCTATTTTAGAACCTTATTCCATGTGCGAAAAATCACCTCCCTATTTCATTATGCTATTTCGGTAATAAGTAACTCCTGATTTTGGAAATTCCAATGTGGTCAGAATAAGAAGTAGCACAGAAATTCTTGATTCACGTTAAATTGATGCTAAAATATATTTTATAATTTTAGTGTTGCACTTGTATTACCATGTCCACTTGAACTTTGTCCACATAATGATGATTTATTTAAAAAAAAGCAACATATTATTTAGAGGCATTTTTCTTCATATTAATTAACAGGTCAACAGTTTTTGAAAATGGACTTATGTCAACTCTAATTACCAGTTATTTTTGCCCATTTATTTTGCCTTTTAATAAATAACGAGAATTACTTAAGGTGAATGACTCACCTCTTTACAAAGACAGTTTTAACACTACTGTTCTTTGGGAAGATATGATGGCTTTCCGTTGCGTTGTACAAAATTTAGGCTCCTTTGTCTGAAGTGAATTTATATAAATGCTGCAAAAACCACTTAAACTGTCTGTTGCCGCCTCCGAGGCGGTTTGAGAATCACGGCATGGCCAAATATAGCGAAGAGGTACATATAACGCTAAGCCCAGCCAACGTATTGATGCAGTAATTGTGGGGTTGTAGAGGCAATGATTCGTTGGTTATTATTTGGGTCGGTGAACTTGGATCTTTAAACAAGCATATTTGCGTGAAGTTCATTCAAGCAAGTCTACTGAATCATGTTTGCTTATTCTTAAAGAAACCATGTGTTCCATGTTTAATTGTTAATTTTATTCACTTTAAGAATCGAATTACTACCATCTAGATCTTATCAGGAAGGTTATCAGTAACGTTTTGAACAATTTGGATTTCGAGGATATGGAAATCGCTGATGAAAAATTGCAAGTGTTCCGAAGATGAAATACAGCCATTAAAGCTGGTCGAAGTCCATCTGCCTTCATCCACGCGTACACTCATCTGCGACCCATCAGCGGATGTGCAACGGCTTTTCGTACCTGAGCCGATGCGACGCCAAGTGTTACACAGTGGACTAGAAACTATCAAACACTTTAACGTTCCTGCACACGGTGACCTTTTTTGACTCTTATCGCACTAGAACGGTTTTCATTATCTTTTGTCTTGCATCGACCGTTTTTCTCGATGACGGGACGCTTTTCCGATGCAAGACATTCCAGCTAAAACCGTAGCTAGAACATTCGTGGACTGATGGGTTGCGTTATTTGGAGTCCCCTCCACCATCATTACAGACCGAGGAATTCAGTTTGAATCAAGCCTGTTCCAAAATCTCAGTCGACTTCTGGGGGCCAACCGTATCCGAGCGGCCACCTACCACCCTCAGTCAAATGGCATGGTTGAACTTTTTCACCGGCAACTGAAAGTTGCTTTAATCACTCACAGTGACCTATCTCGTTGGTCGGATGTGTCCTCCCTCGTACTACTCGGTATTCGATCAGCTGTAAAGGAAGACTTGGGCTGTTCCTATGCAGAAATGGTTTTCGGCACGACACCGAGGATCCATGGGCACTTTTTTCACGGAAACGTCCCCACCGTTATGGTCGGACACAAGCAGCTACGTTGATGATTTGAGGATGGCAATGGACAAACTGATATCAACTCAACCTCGCTCATCCCCCACTTTATACTACATCTCGAGAGCACTGTCCTCTCGCCAAGCAACAAACCCGAGGCGCAGCCAACTTTCATCCATTCTGACAATAAAGAAACGATTTCCACTACGTCCTATGGAAGGTAGGCTCATTGGCCTGATCGTTACACTGCCTGGTCCCCCTTGTTCTCGTATCCTGACCATCGTCTATCTCAAACCCGATCCACCTCGATTTTCCTAATCCTGGATCGGACACACCGCTTTCCACGACTTAATACACATCTGCCCCCTTCGTTACTTCAGTCTTACTTTACGCTACACCACGCCGCAACACGTGCTTTTGATCGTAAATTGGAAACGCCAGGAGAGTTACTGCCTGAGGTTAATCGATCCAGAAGTTCAGCAAAATCCTCCAGCTGCATTTTACCTAGTTAGCCTCATTCCGTGAATCTACTTTGCACAAATCTCGTTTCCCACAACGCAGGCAATGCATCGTCTTCCTTTGATCGAACCCTCTAAAATAAAGTATCCAGAGCGACTTCAAGAAACATCTTGGTCTCTGTTTTAGGCACGCATTATATTGCAGTGAATTCAACGGCTTCAGACTTGAGGTAGCCAAACCATATCGCAATCGCACGCAACTGTACATTGCTTTGCGGTGGTAAATAGGGACCTGGATGAAGCACGAAAGGCAAGTGGACATCATCGGTCGCGCTAGATCGTTTCTATTGACAAACGGCATCACATGCAACCAGTCTCAACCAATCCTGACAGGTTTAATGCGATCTCAGATCGTCGACACGAATTTTTCCTAAATCCAGAAGAAACTTGTACAAAATAGTTCTACTTTATTTCGGAATTTGCAGGCGGTGGTATACGAGATTCACGCAGATCTTCTTCAATTAGAGGGTATATCACGTCGGATATAAACTTGAACATATCGAGAATCCGATATAGGGGGAATTGGCTCTGGCAGAGGGGCAGAATAGGTTCAGTGTAGACGAATATTGTCTCTGGGCTAAATTAGAAAGCAATAACACGAAACTATCTACTAGCCAAGAGAATGAAGAAGTTCACCGTTATCATAAATCAGTTCCGTGCACACCTCGTACAGACACGGGAATCAATATAAAAAAGTAGCTTTCAACTTTTGGTGTGTGACGAAATTAAGAATTCGCATTGAATCCGACAGCATGGACGCTGATACTTGTCAGTTTATGGAAACCAGGTATACCGGCTAGTTGTATAACAATTCCGAATTGTGGTCGGCATTCCTCGTCAACAACCGGCACATTAGTGCTTTCTGCTGGCCTATCACAGCGTGGTAAAATATCGAGGCAGTGGGGAATCAAACATACCCATTTGGAGGAGGTCGCTTGTGTAGTTCCACGCGCACAACGCAGCCTTTGGAGGTTGAGAAGGAAACAACTTCCCATTCAGGACCCCGATAAGTGTAGATTACGTTCCAGCACTTCGGTTTCTCCCCGGACTTATCTTTTAAAAAGGAAAGCATTTTTCTTAATATATAACTTATTTTGAATAGGTGCATTGTAAACTACTTGAAGGAAGTGAAATTAAACTTACCAAATGATAAATCAAGAAGTTGATGGAACGGTTCGTACAGCACCGAAGAGCTTAGTGGGACCGAGACCAGTTTTGGTCCTTTCAAAATGAATAAAATGTGCATAAATTAAAAAAGCGGTACTAGATTAAATAGCGATTTCGTATTAGCAGTTCAGGTGAGTTTAGTTTTGGTTATGTTGTGGGGCATTGACTAATAGATCGGCCAAATCATTTGCCTGACTGGCTAAATGATGCAGCACTTCTACAACATGATACTTCATATATCCGAACTGGTTTCATATGCTTTACAACAAGTTTGACAAAAGCCCTGGACTTTCAATTCAAATCCATTTACGATGAAATTTTGAAAACAATGGCTGATTTAAGGGAGACTGTTTTCGAAACATTTTGATGGTTTGTTAAAGAAAATACACTCACATTTACATTATGGAGTATTTGACACATGACAGGAATTAGACAAGAAACAATTTAGCACAAAATTGAGGTTCAGTAACTGGGCTACAGCTTACAACCAACTTAGAAACTGGGAGTTTATAGAAATCTGTTGAATGTAAAACGTTCGAATACCTGGAATTGGCTGCTTTGGAGAATCCTTGGCTATGGCATCTAAACAGGCTGCTTTAAGTCGAAGCTTCAAAAAGGATTCTATAATGTGCTACAAAAAAATTACCATGAGATATCTGAAAACAAAGCTCAAAACAGAAAGTTGAGAAGAATCAACAAGATACTTGAAAAAGCCCGGGAGCTGTTTCGATGTCCCAGACTAAAACAACAAGCATCCCCCCATACTTATATCGAAGTCAATTCATGATTAAAAAGAAATTTCTGGGCTTTGATTTCAATTCCTTGTAAGTACCGATCTGTTTGTCCCAAAGTTACTTTTGAATAAATGAGTAAAACGGATTGCAGTGAAACTAGGAAAGATCTGGTATTTTGTGCGATGCAGCCGCTTTGTTGATTATAATCTAAGTAATTTTCCAAAAAAATATTTTGGGCATTAAATGGATGGAATTTCAAACGAAATACTGCAGGTTACCAACATAAATTGAACCTTCCTAAAGAAACAATTACAGGATTTACTAGATAAAGCAATAAAAATTACATTCTAGCAGTACGTTTTTTAACCTATCGAAGACAAACAATTGCAAATTAGGAAAAATGACATACTAAATCCGCAGCCTCAATCATCAAGGTACCCGCAACAATGCTAGGCAATTTAAACACATTATTGAGGCCATATTTTTGGAAATTGTTTTTTACTATATGTTATAGTTAAACCAAAAAGCAAAATCAAACCTGCTAAAGTAAGCAACATCAGAATGTTTAACAAGCACTGCTTTAGGATTTACGGTGATAACGCCTAACATTTACCACAATTAAACTGCAAAACGATAAAAAATTCCGTTTGATTCCAGGAGTGTATTAGGATTTTATATAATACTTAAAAGTAGTGTCTTTTTGGCTTTTTGTTACGAACTAACGTTGTCGAGAGGCCGTGTTGGCAGACTACAACCTTTGGTGACTCTCGTTTATTATTTCTTCAAAATGTATCGAAAATCTCCCTTCTCTATACAGGTAGCTGCACTATACCTG